GGATGGACGGCAGTAAAGATCGTGTGTGCCCAACTTTGGACGTGAAGACCCGAGGCGACCCTTGATCAATACAAAAAAGTTATTCAAAGACCGATGTTGTATATATTTATGGTTGTAGTAGATCAATAGATACACAATTAGGTCCAGAAACAATCGACAGTAAATATATCGACAATATGATTATACTCTCAGATGGAGCCTGTTATACGCGCACACTCTAGATTGAATATAGCGTATTTCTGTCACCGTATATACCAATCGTAATAGGTACGCGATCACTAAGTCGCCAACATACCCTTCTCCGTTACAAAGAGACTCAAAATCGTGCTTATATAATAAGCGATAGTAACAATTCAACAGAAAAAGAGTGTAAAAGATGAATAGAATGACAATATTCCACCCCAGTGGTCCCTTGATTATCAAAACCCCACACGGTGACAATGCTACATACCACAATACACTGGCCAGTGGTGCCCTTGATTATCAAAACCTCACACGGTGACAATGCTACATACCACAATACACTGTGTTGTGAACATGAGAATCTAACGTGGCAAATCCGAAGTCAATGAGTTTTACATCCACCTTGCCATCATCATCCGTCGTCACCATGATATTCTGCGAACGCAAATGCGCAATCAGTGATTAACAACGAACCATCTACTCACAACTCTGCACAGAGATGCAGAGAAGCCTGAATGTGTACTAGATACAAAGGCGGAATTCTTGACGCAGACTCGGTCGTACAAGCACAGAGTGTATCATGGGTGGCTGATTCGAGTGTTGTGTGATGATGCAGTGCCTGGCGTTTCAATTCTCGAGAGATTGTTGATGTTCATCACACCCAGCAGTCAACTAGTGGCAATGATATTCGACATACTAAATATGCTTTACGTACGCCAATAGCCAGAACAAGGCGGAAAGTTTGTATCTAAAAGCAGAATGCGTACCGCGGGCTTGATGTCTCTGTGTGCCACGTTGTTCCTATGGCAGTGGTCAAGAGCCGAAGCGACCTGGCGCGTGATGTCCAAAGCCATCTCAACTGAGATCTTATTTTTTGGTGTCTGCTTTTCCATCCAACTGCGATTTTTTTGGGGGGTTTTGGGTTTAGGAGGTTGTTATGAGGCGATATCAGCTATGAGACGAGCGTATTGTTAGGCAGGCAACATCACAGATGTTCGAGGGCCTATCAGACATCAAATTCGCGCCATGCATCCCAAAGGTCAAATTGAAATTGCACACGTATATATATGAGATCATGTGCGATAATAGAGCCTCTGAAGAGATTGAAGAACAGAAAATGGTAAGAAACCCCTCAAGGATATGTACAGCAGTACAGATACAAGATTGAGCGATCAGCTATTCCGACTTGTGAGGGAGGATGTACATCGTCACAAAACGTAAACCAATACGCCTGTATGAATAAACACCGACACTACACAAAAATCAGATAACGAGAAATGTAATTATATGTTGCACCTGCACCTTTGCCATCGGGCGTAAATAGACCAATATGCGGAATATAAGACCTGTCTATGGACACCAGCAAGCTAGAAAAACTCTCTAGTGTTTGTTTGATTGTACAGGATGCGCAGATGTGCATATAAAAGGTAGACTGAAGTGATTGCATACGGACTCACACATCGTGCAGACGAGCTCGCTATATACTAATACCTTAGAGATCTTTTGCAGCTAGAGCTCATACCTTGGAGATCTTCTGCAGCTGATGCATGCATGCAAATGTAGGGTGCGTATGTATGTGTGTAATATATACATGCAAACACAGGCACATGTATACACGAGCTGTATATATTGCTTTATACATGTATGTTGAACTTACACATCCAAGGTGTCTCCTTCGACCAGTTCCATGACCATCCACAGCGTATCTTCTTCGGTCAGCATCACAACCTCAAACAGCGACGCTATATGAGGTTGCTCTCCCAAGCGCTTAAGCACGTTGACCTCGCACACAACCAAGTCCCACTCTGACTGGGTGAGTTTGTATTTCAAAACTTCCTTTACAGCCACATCTACTAGTGTGGGTGTGTGGACAGCCCTGAATACGTTGGAAAATTTGCCCTCACCTACTTTCTGCAGTAATTTCTGTGTAATTATTTTGAATTGACAGGCGTCCGATCTGTTGTTTAATAATCGGGAATATTGCATGCGATAAAATAAATACTGTAAAACTATCCAGAAGATAGTACAGGGTCTTCAATGGTATACTTGCACCTTAACTCGCCAACGCGGTATATATCATACACGTATATCCTGATGCAAACAA